TTGTACAACTAAAAGAATATTTCTTCTAAAAACAAAAGGCCCCAAAACAGCGAAAAAAAAAAAAAAAAAGTTTCAGTAATCAGTAGTTTCTATTCAACAAAGCAGCTCAACACGAATGTCAGTGAATTAAGTGCTACAATCATTTCAAGAAAAAGACAAACAACTTAAGAGTGTTTATTGCACCAGAAGTAATTTGAAAGGGATCATTAAATAGGTTATATGTACAACTGAGATCACAAGTATGCATACACCTTGCCGAATCTGCAAAATGTTAATTTAAAAAGAAAATAAGAGAGGTCATAAAAATGGCATTTTGCATTATTTCAGCTATTGAAGCTATTTCACATATTTAAAATTACAGCAGGCTGCATTTCTCTTGAGCCCACTCAGTTTGAGCAGACCTAATGTGTGTGGTGGGGACTAATAGAGGATGAATGGGGGAAAGTCACACGAGAGGAGGCAATGCCTCCACACACTATTATTGGTTCATGTGATGAATCCTGACTCTTGTTTTGATGAACATTCCACATCCACATGAGCGTGAATAAATAATGATGGTGCTACTGAGAAGACTAATGCAAAAAAGTAAATACTATACGACTCACTCACATAGATATCACGGCCTTATGTCACATACAATTCAGACTTGAAATGGCCTAAAAACATGATGTGTTTTTCTTTCTTTCTTTCTTTCTTTTTTCTTTCTTTTTTTTGGTGAGCAGACAGCTTGGTGAAATTAAATAAATGATTGGTGAAATTGTTTATCAAGCTATGATGACTGCTGATCCAAAAAAGTTGAATATTAAAAGTAATACCTGAACAGTTTACAAATGACATGAAAGCTGTTGTGCATTGTATTGTTTATTGTTATTATTTTGGAATTATGGTTATTATTTTATAAACACTAACTTGAGATTTACACTTGGTTTTAACAAATAGAACACTAATTACAGATATATATATAAATAATTGTTATTATTATTATTATTTGATAGTATAAATAATGTTTATTAAACCAGAAAGTAACTGGGACATTAATTTATACTGGAAAAGAAAAGAAAAAACAAAACTGTGAGGACTTTGTCTCCTTATGTCAGAATGCCACAGCAGGCCTCTGATGTTTACATACAGAAAACAAAAATAATATATGAACTAAAAGACAGTTCAAATGTTTACATGCGCTTTTCCCTAGTTTATAAAATTGGGACAACATAGTGTTTTTTCTTTTGCTTTCAGAGCAAATAAGAACGCAGAAATAATCCCAACACTGTATAGGCCTACATCACTTAGGCCTACTTCCGCTTAAACAACACAAAAACGTCGGTACACAGAGGCAGATCTTCCGTACACTCAGGGACATTGTAGTTTATAAAGTTCATCACTCGTTGTTTGGGGTTGCAGTATTGGGTTTAAGTTGACGACTTATTGTTCACAGTTCTTTTGTAGGCAATAAAGCATGGACTTAGAAATGCAATGTTAAAATGAACTAACGGAAACGATCGTGTATACTAGCTACACTTTAATAAGACAGAGTCTTTAAATAAAACACATTAATTTGTTATAATTTGATACTCACGCAGATGTTGTGCCATTTATGCCTCCATGTTTCAAAATCAAACGAGAAATCTGGCTGAAGGGGAAAAACAGCGAGGAGAGAAATACATGCGCTTAAATCAGAAGAGACTAACATTAAGATTACATTCAAAGCTACAGTCGCGTGTGATTAATTCCGCTAATGTCATTAAAAGCTCAATCCAGTCAGGTAATAACAGTTTGCAACTCAAAATAATAAGCTATTACAAAGTAATAAACTGACAGCACAAACACATGTCAGCACACAGCAGCAGGCGACTGTAGTATTTATTTCTTAAAGAAAGTCCGTTTTAAGACAGCAGTAAAAATAAACATTTCCATCCTTATAAAATATTATTTTGATAGGTATTAAATATGTGGGTTTAACATCTTACCCGAAATGTGCGCCATTTTACCACCAACGCCTCGACTTTTTCAAAACCGAAAGTAAATGTTACACTGACTTAGAAACGAGCATGTATAAACTAACTCCACCACAGGAGGGCGCAGGTCAACATATCCATATTCTCTATTGTAATAAAGCGCTATAGAACAGGCATAATCTATACTATAAATACTCACACAAAAACATTTGTACTGTACAGATACAGAAATGTACGGAGCCCGGGAAGTCACCTGTAGGAGAAAAAAAAAACAATCAGTGGCGACGGTTTTGCAATCCGTCCCCTCAGTTTATTAACCGTACGCACGAATTCTTAAACTGTTCCCTCGGTTTAACAAATCGTGCCCACGGATTAATAAACCGTACCCACGAATTTCCAATCCGTGCGCTCAGATTTTGTAAACCGTACCCACAAATTCATAATCCGTGCCCACGCTTTCGCAATCCGTTCCCTCGGGTTTGTAAACTGTACTCACGGATTCATGCAGCAAGCTCTTAGGTAGCCTACGTGTTAACGAATCATATTGTATATTGTTTTATTGCATATTATTATGTGGAATAGGCCTACTT